GCGTATCTTGTCTGCAACAAGATAGTGGTCCGAGTCGATGTTTGGGCCTCGTAGTCGATGTTGGGTGCGTACGTCTAAAACACTGGAAGCGTGCCTTCCGTCTATCACAACATGATCGATTTGGTTTCTCGTTTTTCCATCCGGAGACGGCCACGTAGCTTGATGGATCTTTATATGTTTGATCCTAGTACTGCATACTACCATGTTTCGGGCGAAGTCGATCAGCCTCAATCCGTTATCGGACGTTTCGTCGTGGAGGCTGAATTTTCCGACGGTGGTTCCAAAGATCCCTTCCTTGCCCACACTAGCATTGAAGTCGCCAAGCACGATTTTGATATCATGACGGGGGCAGCGCTCGCACGTGCGCTCCAAACGCTCATAGAAGAGATCCTTGGATGCCTCATCCTTCTCTTCCGTCGGGGCATGGACGCAGATGAGCAAGATGGTGAAGAATCGCGCTTTGATGCTGATTGTGGCTAGACGCGCATCCACCGGGGTGAACGATAGTACTCGGTGACGCAGTCTTTCTCCCACCACAAATCCGACTCCGAATTTGCGCTCCTTTACATGGCAACTGTAGAGACGTCACAAGGCCCCAGATATTGTTTGCCTTGCCCCGTCCAACGCATTTCTTGGATGTCGATGATGCCAGCTTTTGTCCTTACGAGGACATCAACCAGACGGGCAGAGGCACCTTCCCCATTAAGGGTCCGGACATTCCAGGTGCATGCCCTCAAATCGTAGTCCTTTAAACGTTTGCCGTGGTCGTCATCATAAGGGGGGTCTCATCCGAGGCTTTGCCTTGCTTCTTCACTGGAAGTGGTTTTTACGTGGCGGGTCCCAAGCCCAGCGCACAACCCATTGCTGGGACGGGGGTGGTTTCGCAACCAAATACACGTTTATATAGCGAGCCGCTTGCTCCATGCAGACACCCGATTGCAGCCGCACCTACTGGTGAACGAATAAGTCGGAGTGGCACCACCGAAGCTCCCTCTCTTTCTGCCGTGACCCAAGGCTCCACTCGGATTGGTTACCGCATCGCGCACATGGGTTGCTCACGTTGCCCAGAGTGCGCGAACGAAGACGCAAGAGTCGGGATTGAGTATAGCCATGCAACTGTAACTGCATACCCAGCGCAACGACTATACCCCATTGCACTCCATGTGGAAATTTTATGGAAAACTCTAGATATCAACCTAGTCTAGATATCAACCTCGTTGTAGGCATCATATCAAGGAGATACAATCAGAAGTCTCTAGATGTCGCCCCGCCAGAAGAAGTTAAATATTGCACCTAAATATATGCACTATTTATATGCGTCACAGCGAAATGGACGACACGCCATTTCTTTAAATGAAATAAACTGCTGCTATATGTATGTATGTACATATGTATGTTTATACTAAATGTGAAACGGCAACATTGTGCTTGCATAGTCTTCTGTTCTCTTTCACTGCAAGTTGAATTATTTTAATATCTATTGTAAAATTTTGTACAGACAAGACCAAAAAGTAGAAAATAAATAAAATAAAATAAAACTTTTTAATATACAACGCTTTTATAAATGGACTAAAGAGTAGAAAATAATATTTCTCAGTCCCACAGAATTTGTTTTGATAACTTTTAATTTTGAAATTTTAGCAAAAGTCATTATAAACAATTAATGAAATTGAAAATGAATTAAGAGAACAAATTTTAATTTGGTTGTATTTTCAAAACATATTTGCTACCAAAAGCTTCATCAAGCCAAACCAAACTACCAAAGGAGAATGAAGCTACCAATTTTGGTCCAATTGGACNTTAAGAGAACAAATTTTAATTTGGTTGTATTTTCAAAACATATTTGCTACCAAAAGCTTCATCAAGCCAAACCAAACTACCAAAGGAGAATGAAGCTACCAATTTTGGTCCAATTGGACCAAAACGGCAACGCTGATCCTGATGGGTGTGTTAATGCGAATAAACCTAAAAACTTTGGAACACTTTAAAATCAAGA